AAAAGCTGTAGCAATGGGCTGCTGTCTTCTGCCTGACAAGGAAGGGCTTCGCTTTCATTTTTCCATTCTTGTACAGATGGTATAGTTATTTTCAGTTAAATGATGTTCTGCAGTAGAAACAGGCAACTCCTTTTGATTCTTTGGCTTAATGAAAAAAAAAAAAAGAGAGAAGAGAGGAGAAGGCCAGCTTTGTGCTAATGCTGGTCAATTTTTTTATTTAAGTATGTTCCAAGACACAGAGATGGGATATGTATTGCTGCCACTAGGAAGTCGGGCAGTTGGGCTGAAAAGATTTCTAACCTCCTTTCAAGCAGACAGGGTACTTGTTCAGGTCCAGATCCCCAATAGCCCTTATTTTAACTATGTGTGCACAGGTCCCACCCACATGCTAGGACGTGAGGTAAAGGTTGATGGGGCAGTTCCGGGATGGGGACTGAGGTACTAATGCCATGCCTGGTTTTCTTCTTAGAGTTGTCAGAGATATGAATGGGAGAGCTGGGAGTGGCAGGTGCCTGGGATATAGAGCTGAGCAGAACAGAGTCTGGGCCAAAGGGGGTTGTATTCTACCTAGCAGGAACATTAGTGTAGAGGCAACCACCAGCACAGGCTGGGATCAAGCGAAGCACAGGGCATGAGCAGAGGGCAGGACCAGCTTCTGGCTGGGTGTCTGGGACAGGTTCTCAGATTCGATGACTTAGGCTGGGGTTGAAGGATGAACGGGAAGAGGCTAGCCTATTAGGTTGGATTTCCGTTAAGACTGTGGGACTTGAATGTCCGAGATGGCTTGTCCCACAGTTGGAGAGCTCTGAGATCAAGCTGTCAGGGGCCTTGGTTCCTTCTCAGTCCCTGTTGCTTGGTTTACAGATGGCCGCCTTCTCTGGGTGTCTTCATGTTGTCTCCTCCACATATGTCTGTGCTCTCATTTCCTCTTCCAGTGAGGGCACCAGTCCTAGTGAATTAGGGCCCCCTTGAACAGCCTCATCGTGACATATTACCTCTTTAAGGACTCTGTCTTTAAATGCACCCCCATTATGAAGTACTAACAATTAGGCCTACAGCATAAGGTTTTGGGGGGATACAACACAGCCCCAAACACCAGGGGGAAAGTGGGCTGAGATTCTTCTGGGTCATCCAGCCACATGTTTGGGAGCCTGGGGCCAGGAACAATGCCCACATGGTCCAGACACGGGTTCTAAAGGACGTTGTGGGGACTTCAGAGTCAGGATCACACTGGGCTCTCTAAACCAGGTGGTGAGAGTTCACATTTGTCTGAAGGGCACGGAGACACCGTCGTCTGTATTTCCAAAGCTCACTCAGTGTGAAGAGAGGCAGCTGGAGGGAGTGAGAACTGCTAAGTAGCAGTTTGGCTTAAACAGGTATTTCTTTGCCTCGGCACTATTGACATGTCGAGTCAGATGATTCTGTGTTGTGGTGTCTCAGTGGGTGATAGGAGAAATATAGCACAATACACCTGCCATTCCTAACAGTCAAAGCTACATGGTTCTTTTAAGCCCCAGACCTTTCCAAGCAAAGCTACACCCCTGGCCTGTACATACTAATGTCAGTAATACCTTACCCCTAGTCATGATAAGAGAAAATGTCTCCAGGCCCTGACTTGTGTTCCCACAAACTTCTTCTCTGTTCAGACTGCTGGTTCAGGTGCTACTGGCCAGTGAGGCCGCTGGGCTGGATTTGGGGGAGGCTTGAAAGACAGAATCCACAAGAGGGACTTCTCTTGCTTTGGTTTCTTCTTATGTTCTTATGTTTGATGATGTCACTTTCCTAAGGCACTGGGTGGGGTGACCCTTGTGTGCCTAAGGGGGGTCAGAAGAGCATGTGCCTATTGTATCTACTAGGCGGGGTGTCCTAGGACTGGCAGGACATTTGTGTGTAACGGATGTAATGGATGGATAAGTTGTCTCTGAACCCACCCAGCCATTCATCAGGTCCATGTGTTGCCAGCCTCATTGATGCTCGGAGCAAGCTCTTTGGAATCTAATCTGGCCAATTTTCTGGTTCCGGAAATCTGTTTATCAGATCAAGATTTCACAGTTGCAGTGACTTTTCCAGGGGGTTTGTCTTCGAGGAGTTAGCTCCATAAAAGCGAGTCGAAGTGATTTCCAAACAAAACCGAGTCTCAGCTCTGCATTCCGCAGCCCTGAGGAATTCCCGGCTGGCTGGTGATGCTCAGAGCAGTTGCTCTCAAACAGCTGGAAGTTATATGGGGGGTAGGGGTGTGGAGGTTCTGAGCTGAGCATGAAGTATCTGGCTAGAATCCAGCATGTGACTGCTTTCTGGGTTCCTCCCCATAGGCATCCAGATTTCTGCCTGGAGATAATAAAGTTCCTGCTCATTCTTTCCAGGGATAGTGGTGACTTGTGTAGTTGCCTTCAGAGGAAGTCCTGTGTTGAGTCTGTGCTCTGCAGAATGGAGCATCCTGATGGATTGGGTGGCAGAATTGGAAACATGGTGACACAGTGTGTTTGTAACTCCTACCCGTCAGAACGGCATGTCTTCTATTTCTGACCCAGGCCCCAGGCTATTCCTCCCCACGCCGTGCCTTTGACTCTGTTCCTTTGATTTGAAGGGCCTGTACTTTATATCAGCCTCCACTGAAAATGCCACTTCTTTCTTGGAATCCTTCTTGTTTGCCTTGAATTCTAACTAAAACAAAACAAAACAAAACAAAACAAAACAAAACAAAACACTAGTGTGTGGGTGTTTGTGTTCTCATGTCTGTGTAAGTGCACAAATGTATATGTGTTTGTGTGTGTATGGGGGTCTGCATGAATGTGTGTTCATGGATGTGTGAGTGTAGGTCAAAACTAAGGAGAACCTTAGCTGTTGCTTCTCAAGGTCTGCCCACCTTATTTTTTGAGACAAGGCCTCTCATTGTCCTGGAACTTGCCTCAGAGATCCACTCACCTCCACTTCCCTTGGGATCGTGGGCTTTTGTGTGTGTGTGTGTATGTGTGTGCGCGCGAGCGCACGCGCATTCTGGAGATTGAACTCAGGCCCTCATGATTGCATGGCAAGCCATATGAGCCATCTCCCAGCCCCCCACCACTCATTGGCCTTTTAAAGTAGGAAAATGTCATAGTCTGTGTGCTCCTTCGGCAGATTCTTCCGGCCAGAAGACAGATTCAGACTCGGGGGACAAACTATGAGTCAGGAGGCTGAGTTGGAAGTTGTAGCCAGTGGTGATGCCCATGGGATTGTAGCTGCGTGGACTAGAGTCCTAGCTGCCGTGATGGAGACAGGGGTTGGCCGCGTCAGGACCGATGGAGTGAGCAAGGGGTAAGGGTTGGGATGTACTTGGGCTGAGTGGAACCTTTTGCTGTAGCTTCCCTCTTGGAATGAACGATGAAAACTCATTTCTGAAGAGCGGCATGTATATGGTTGCTAATTTAGTATCAGGTAGCAGATGGTCTCCAAGAGGATATCCACAGCACAAGGGCTTGTGTGATGCCTGTGTCCATCCCCATTGGCTCCTGCTTGCTCGCCCCAGTTAGAAGTGTACTTTTAGTACCATTTCCAAAGTAGCTCTGCCAGACAACCGCGTTCTCTGTGCATGAAGAAGCTGGACAACACTCCACAGAGAGAAGCTAACAGAGGAGTTTGGCACTAGCGGGTGAACAGCAGTTTACTAGGAGACACAGTGGCATGAAGGGTGTTCTGGGCAGCAAACAAACAAACAAACAAACAAATAAGAAAGAAAAAGGTGCACAGCAGGTTAGTGGTGTGAGGGCACCTAAGAGGGATCTGAGCCTGAGGTGAAGCTACTTCCTTTGGCAAAGCTTGTGAAAGAAGAATATGAGTCTTGCTCCCTTGTTCCCCATAGGCAGCTCTAGAAGGCCATGCTTCCCAACACCTTAATGTCAGTAAGGAATTCAGGGTGCACATGTCCTTCTGTCTTTCCTTCACAGCACAAGTGTCTGCTCATAAAGGCCTAGTACTTGTTTATTGAATGACTTGAGGCGTTTAGAGCCGCAGTGTGCTGGCAGACTGGTCTTGTCCTCCTTTTCCTCTAACACAGTTTTGCTTCTAGATGGCTACTTATCTCCCAGCCTTTAATCACACTGACTCAGCTTCATCTGACCTATCAGATCTTGGCTTTCTGGAAAATCTGCCTCCAAGGTTCGAGGTGGATAAGCTCTGTACCTTCCCATACCTGCTCTCATGAGGTCTGTTTAATTTCCTGTCTTAAGGATGGTGCCGGGTAGGGCCTTGGGCATTTTATGATTGTTTAGTGGACTTGAACCTGAGCCTGGGGACTTGGTTCTAAACCTCCAGTAACTCTTGGATAGTATAGTGATCAGGACAGCCTCCTGGGGGTTAGCAAGCCTGAGTACAGATTTCATATGTCAGGCAGATTGATTTGTAGATCGAGGTATCCTATTTCTGGAGGGAATGATCTCTTGGTAGTCTTGCCAACTTGGCTCCAAGTCAAGGACTCTGATTGTAGGGACTGTGAGTCTGAGGGATATTTAGGGTCCAGGGCATATTCCTATCTGGAACTTGAAAGAACATTTGGGTTTACACACACACACACACACACACACACACACACACACACACACACACACACACGGTGGATATTTATGGAAGCCAAGAGAGGGAGTCATAGGCAGTTATGAGCAGCCAGATGTGGCTACTGGGAACCGAACTCTGGTCTTCTGGAAGAGCCACAGGTGCCCTTAACAATTGAGTCACCTCCTTAGCCCCATTTCTCACAGATCTCCACGTGAGAGATGAGCGCCTGTGACATGCTGGACACTGACTGCTTCTTTGCATTGCTCCAGCTAGTTCCTCGGTGTCTTTGTACTGAGGTGGGCCAGGATAGAAGTGCTTCTCATAGGCGAGCAAACAGATGCAGAAAAGCAAAGATAGCCAGTAGGAGTCTCATCTGGACTGAACGTCAGCCTCTGCAGCTAGGCCAGGGCTCAGGCCCTCGGCTGTGGTCATTGTGCCTCTGACTTCCTCTTCTCTCTTCCTTCCAGAGAGCCAGCTGCTCCCTGGGAACAACTTCACCAACGAGTGCAACATCCCAGGTAACTTCATGTGCAGCAACGGGCGGTGCATTCCGGGCGCCTGGCAGTGTGACGGGCTGCCTGACTGCTTCGACAAGAGTGACGAGAAGGAATGCCGTGAGTGGCTGCCTGTGGTTATGGGCAGGGGCGGATAGGGGTGGCGTTTCAGACCAAGAGCACCAAGTCCAGTCAGGCTTGGATCTCGCGCCCTGTTGGCCGTGAGCTAGTGGGCCAGCTTTCCTTCTGCCTTTGAGCGGAGTGGTCTGCACAAGTGTAATATGGTAGAAGAGCCCCGCTTGGGTGAGCAGAGGAGACCCCCTTTCCTGGATGCTACCGTCACCTTCAGAATCCCAGGCATTATGTTCTGGGGTGCCTCTCAGTTAACAAGGATTGTATTTGGCTGCCTTGGCCCAGGGCTGGAGACTATCTGAACGTGTGGTAGAACTCTCTCAGTGATTCTCTGAGGGCGTATTATGTCAGGGTTCTGGGCCGAGTAGATACTCAGCTCATGTCCCTTTGCTTCCTTATCTCCTTTCTCTGTGTGTGGTCATGGCTTGGGCCTTCGCTGGGCTGTCCCCTTTTGATGAGTACCAGCATGGGATGGTCTCAGGGGTCCTCTCCATCCCACCTCTTCTTTAGCTTCTTGTCCATTTTGTGCTCCTGAAACGTGCATAAGATCTGGGTTGAGGATAATCTCCAGGAAAGGAGGCACCTCGGCAGTGGAGGGGTTGGGATGTCCAGTGACCATCCTTCCTGCCCTGAAGAGACTTCTCTTCTTCCCGAGTTGGTCTCAGCATAGTGATCTTGGCTCTGGTTCATCCTCCTGGCATCCTGGCAGGTAGTCAACATCAGGAGGTCTGGCCCTGGCTCGCCTGATGGGTGACTGCCATGGAGCCACACCTCTCTGCTCTTTCATAGACGTCAGGAGCCAGGCCATGGGGCATTTCTGCCAGGAGGACTCTCTGTTCTGGCTCTGCCGGGGCTCTGGGCGACAGCTGGGGACAAGGCCCTGGGAGGATGGGAACTTGAACTTTTAGCAGAGCTGTTCCTGGAGTTTGAGGTTCTGCTGTTGATGCACAGGAAGGAGCACTGGGTTTGGAGCCACCCCAGGAGCCAGATACTCACTGGCTGATAGCATGCTCATGCAGACATGCTCCCCACGTTCTGAAGCTGACCCCTCACCTGGCATTGGGGGTACAGTAACCTCCATACCTGCTTGTGCCCTTCAGAGAAGATTTGGGGAGAAGACTGGAGAGACTTGGAGGCTGTGTTAAATCTTGTTATGTGTGATTTTTCTCATTACATTGTTAGGCCTAATACATTCTCCTTCTTATTATTCTTTTCCTTTTTTCCTAAACTGCTTTTTTTTTTTTATATATAAGTATTAGGTCTCTTTCACTGTGTCCTTGCTTCTAGCATAACTTTAAAACTTTCAGAAATCTAACACTTTTTAAAATTGAGTTTCAAGTGTGATGGAATGCGTGAGCCTTGTCTTCGGCCCGGCTTTAAGGAGCATTAAACACTCTCTAAGAGTCTAGAGTTGCCATTTTCAGGGCACCGTGTGCTGTAGCAGGAGCTATAGACTGTCATTAGCTAGCTGGCAGTATTCAGGCCCCGGGTGTGTAAAGGAATGCAGGATTAACAGCCGGTCCAGCCCCACCTCGGTCAGGAGCAGCCGCGACGTACTGACTTCTCGGGAAGCCTCTGCCTCCGTGGGTGCAGCCTCGTATATTAGAATTCATGAGGAAATGGGAAGAGGTGGTGGAGAGAGAATGTTTGTAGAGAAGGGTTGTGGCAGCAGCTGCTGGGAGCGGCTTGGTTTGGTTTGGAGCAGCTCATTCCTGGCTGTCCTCCATCCTCCTCTTCTCCCCACGTGTGGTAGAGACCCAACAGGCATTTGCTTAGTCTTTAGATCCAGACATAGTTAATTTTTTTTTAACTATACCTACAAACACGTTGCCCACCCAGCTTTGCTTTAAATTGAGAAAACAACTCTTGAAAGTTTAGACGAGAAAGGAGAGGGGGAAAGTCTTTCCCTTTGTAAGAGAAATTGACCTTTCACTTTCTTTCATAATCTTCTCCAGTCTAGGAGTTGAGTGTGGGATTTCGAGGAAGGCTATCTAGACTCAGACTTGGCCCTCTCCTCCATCCTTAGGTGAATATGTGATATTAGAAAGGTTTCCAGAATATTCTAATGTAGATTCCACTGGTGTTAGTAATGGAAGTTCTTCACTCTGAGAAGACCCCAGTTTCGCCCTCTCCCCATGTGAACAGGAAGACTTCTAATTGTGAGCACTCTGGTGATGTCTTAGAGTATGTGAGCACCATGGTGATATCTTGGTGTGTGTGCTAAAAGCACCAGCATGGGGCCTATGTGCCATGAGTGTAAGCACAATTTCCAGGCAGTCTGCACAGACCATTAAGTAGTTGTCATAAGGGTGTGATTGTGTGGCTTTCTGTTTCTTCCCCCATTTTCGTGTGTGTGTGCGTGTGCGTGTGTGTGGTATGTCTGTACAAGTGTACAGATGGAGGCCTGAGGTTAATGTTGGAATCACCGTTCATTGCTCTTTCCTCTTTATTGAGGCAGACTCAGTTAAATCCAAAGCACCACTATGGCTAGTTTTGCTAGCTAGCTAGCTTGCTCTGAGCTACCCTTGTCTCTGCCTTCCAAGGCTGGAGTTACTGGTGGAGATCTGAACTTCAAGCCTCATGTGTTCATGGCAAGAGCTTTAACCCCTGAGGCATCTCCCCAACTCATGCCTTGCCTTTTCTGTTTAACATTAGCTGTGTTTCTGTGTGTTTATAATAGTCGTTTTGTGAAAGTATATGCACTGCAACTTAGTCATGCTCATTGCATGTCTTTTACTTTTAAAAAAAGATTTTTTTCACTATGTGTAGATGTATATGTCTGCATATGGATATAGTGCACTTGACTATAAGTGTTTTCAGAGGCTGTAAGAGGGCATCAGATACCCTGGCAATGGAGTTAGATGATTGAGAGCCATCTGACATGGAGCTGGGAGCTAAACTCAGGGCCTCTGCAAGAGCAGCAAGTACTCTTGACCACTGAACCATCTTTCCTGCCCTGCTCTGCTTTTTGGCTTTTGTTCATCACTGTGATTAGAATCATTTAAGAAACTTCCTATGTAGGTGACAGAAATGCATGGCACAGGGCTGAAGACTGAGGCGACAACTCGCTCTCTCTGGGAGCAGCAAATGTAGAACCCTTGCCTACTTCATGGAAAGAAGTTTCTTTGAAACAACTGTCTGCCTCAGGGAACACGGTGGCCACGGTCACTCCTGAGAGGTCATGGCGTCAAGAGGTCTGTGACACTTTGGCATTGAGAAGATAATATGTTACAGAAGGGATTGAGAATCCTTGCCCTTTTTAAAGGGCATGGAGGAGCCTGGAGATGTGTCTCGTGGTGGGACGTGGTCTTGTGGTCAGCCCTTTCATATCTGCACTAGAGGAAAGACGTTGTGGAAAATAAGACGAAAGTCCATCATCAAGGGGGAAAAAATCACCTACTGTAAAAATTGATGGGGAAGGAGAGGAGGACAAAGGAATCACATCAGAGCCTGTCTCTGTTACAGCTTGGGAACTCTCACTTAGGCTTGTCCTGCTTGTAATCACCATGGAAGTTCCAGTGTTCATTTCGAAGTTTTCCTATAACATTGTATCATGCTGTCATCTTCGTGTTTTTCTGTATTTCTCTATCATCTGAATGTCTAGGTAATAATCCACTCATTTGGTGTCATATTACTGATATACTATTATTGCTTACTCTTGTTTTGTGGTACTGCTTGGGATTAAACCCGGGCTTCTGCATGCCAAGCAAACGTCTGTTCTGAGCTTCCCCTTCAGCCCGCTGTGACTCTTGTTCAGCTTTCCACTACTGAAGAGTCTCCAGCATGTGGGCTTGCTGGTGGAGACGGCTTTCTCCCTTTCCTTGAGCTGGATTCTCAGAAATGAGGTTGACGACACTGAGGGGCGGGAGCTTTTCCTGCCTCTGCCCACAGACTGCCCATCTGGTTTGCTAAAGGTCTGCACCAGTTTGCTTTCACTGGCCAGGAGTGAAGTCTGGGACTTAATTCTAGTCTTGGCAGCATTGAGTAATAGCTTTAAAATAAACTCCCTCTTCCTGGATAATACTTGAGAGTAGTTCATGTATTTTACATTTTTTTTTTTAAAATAAAAAAGGTAGAATGCTTATATCTTTAGTTATTAGTTGTATTTCCCTGTGAAGTATCTGCTGCTGAACTAAAATTAATTTTCACCTGGGCCCAATGGGCGTTAACTGTGCTGCAGAATGCTTCTGAGGACCCCCCTTTTAGAGCTGGGGGAGGGGCTTTGTTTTGCCATGCTTCTAATATATTTCTGTTCTTGGTTAGTGGATTGCCCTCAGTGATTATTTTATTCAAATCAGTTTTCATATCTTCCCTCCGTTATTTGTGGTTATAAAAAGAAGAGAGATACATTTCAGAAAAATGCAATCTCTCCATGAGAGCACTCATTGTGAGGGACGATAGTGAATATATGCCTGTGTGTCCGAGGGATCGTAGGAAACCAGATACTTGACATTTTATTAACTCATTAGGTTGTCACAGAAGCTTTTCTCGGAAGGAGCTGTTGTCACAGAGACAGAGCAAATACACAGAGATTGCCTTTTGGCCCAGAAAATAAGACCCCATAGCTTTCTTTCATTAGAGGCCCCCAGGGATCTTTTTGTTTACCCCTGTAGGCTACTAGCTGGACAAATAGGATCTGTGGATTCTGTTACCTGGATTGTGTTCGTTGTAATTCATAGATACTCCTCTAACTAATACAAGGAGATAGTTGGCTTATGGAGAAAAGAGGTTTGTTTTGGCCCATGCTTTTGGAGGTTTTAATCCAGGACCCAGTTGGCTCTGTTGCCTGTGGAAGATAGTATGTCATGTTGGGAGAGTGCACAGTGAAGAAAAACCTCATGACTAGGAAGCAGAAAAGAGAATGAGGAGGAAGGTCTGGGGCTTCATCATCCCCTTCAAGGAGGACACAGCCCCAGTGGCTTAAAGGCTTCTCACTAGACTACCTCTTTCAAGATTTACTATTTTTAATTATGTGTACATGTGTGTGC